GCATTCTCTTATTTGATCCTCACAGCAGTCCTGTGAAGGAAGTATTATGTTCCATTTTACAGACAGGGAGAACTAAGGAACAGAGAGAAGAAATGATTTGTCTAAGTTTGCACTGTGGGGCTAGAACTGGAACCTAAGCTTCTCAGTGCCCATTAAGACTGCTCACCAGCATTCCAGTTCTCTTTGCTGGCATGTAGCAGATTTGCACTTTTATGCCCTCACGAAGTGAGACATGGCCCTATGACATACTTAGGCTGATGAAATGTCACACAATTTGCCAAGTTCCCCTCTTTCAAAGTAACCAAGTGACATCCCAGATGGTGGAGGCACCATCAACCTGTGTCCCTGAGTGAAGGTCACCATAAAACCTTCATTGACTCAGGATGGACATACAGTATGAGTGACAAATCTTCATTATTCAAGCTACTGAGCTTGGGAGTTGTGTATTAGAGGTGTATAACCCAGACATCCTAGCTGAGGCATCAGGCTCCTAAATTTTTCTCTGTCCCAGGGGTTTACCTATAACCAGATTTGTTTGTTTATTTGTTTTGAGACTGAGACTTACTTTTTCACCCTCAGTAGAGTGCTCTGGTGTCATAGCTCACAGCAACCTCAAACTCCTGGACTCAAATGATCCTCTTGCCTCTGCCTCCTAAGTACTAGGACTACAGGTGCAGCCATTATGCCCAGCTATTTTTTGAGATGGGGTCTTGGTCTTGCTCAAGGCTGGTCTTGAACTCCAGAACTCAGGCAATCCCCCGCCTTGGCCTCATAGAGTGCTAGGATTACAGGCATGAGCCACCTCGCCTGGCCTCTGAAATTAGATATATATATATTTTTGAGACAGAGCCTCAAGCTGTCACCCTGGGTAGAGTGCTGTAGCATCAGAGCTCACAGCAAGCTCCAACTCCTGGGCTCAAGCTAGTCTCCTACCTAAGCCTCCCAAGTAGCTGGGACCACAGGTGCCCGCCACAACGCCTGGCTATTTTTTTGGTTGCAGCCATCGTTGTTTGGCAGGCCCAGGCTGGATTCGAACCCGCCAGCTCAGCTGTTTGTGGCTGGCGCCTTAGCCGCTTGAGCCACAGGCGCTGAGCCCTAAAACTAGATAGATATTAAGGCTGATTCTGTTCACTGTGTAGTTTAGCACACTTTGATGTTCTCTGCACCAGGGCCTACTGGCCTTGGGGGAACACAAATAAGATACTGTCCTTGAGAAACTCATAACTAATCCAATACTGATTTTGTATACCCTGCTCTGTCCTGAAACTAAGCCTTTCTCACTCATAACTTTGTCCCTTATATCCAAACCTGAGTTTCTCTGTTTGTTGAGTAATACTACCAAACCAGTAGCTTAAGCCATAAACCTGGGTGTTAGGCTCAGTAATCCCCACCCCTGACAACTAATTAATCCCTAAATCTTAACAATCCCTAAATCTCCCAATCCCTGCTGGAATCTGGCCCTTTCTCTCCATTCCTACATTATGATGGCCTTTTCGCTGTGTCCTTGTCTTTAACCCATTCCACAGTCCACAGGAACAGTGAGCTTTCTCATGTTTCCAAATCTGATAGTGCCACTCCCCTGTGTGTCTCCCCAGTGCTCTTCCTCAACTCTTTAGCTCAGGTTACAATGTCCTGCAGTCTGTCTCTGCTTGCGTTTTCCTTCACTTGCTTCCAGGACCTAGCCAGGCCGAACTATTCTCAATTCCTCTAATGTCTGGGCTTTCTTCCCATGGGAGTCC